TTTTTTTTCACTAACTAACCAGTTAAGTTACAAAAAATTTTTTGTTGTTTGATCATTACAGCTTTATGTATTGCCCATTATTCTCCTCCTTCATTTTTTTGTTTGTTTCATTAATTTTTCATTACAGTTTTTTTTTGTTTTAATCGATTATGAGTATAAAATTTGTTACTTACTGCAAGTCAGAAGAAAAGTAGCCTTTTTTAAGAAGAGAATGAGGAGCAGGAAAAAAAAGAACTTACAGATCATCAACACTTTTACACTTTTTTTTTTTGTTTTTCATTTTTTTTTTTTTTTTTTACTAAATTACAGGATATAAAAACTTTTCAACAATGAACTGCTCCACTTTATACATATAAATATATATATATATTTGTTTTTGTTTTTTTTTTTTTGTAATAGAACGAACAATTAATCTTGTGAGCAAGTTGAAAAAAAGACAGGAGAAGAAGAAGGGCAAAAAGAGAAGCCGAAAATGTAGTTATTATGATCAATCTTGCTTTCTTGTTTCTTCTTCACGTTTTCATGTTTCAACTTTTGACTACCGCTGTCAACTGCTGTCACCCCTCAATTATGAGAATAGTTACCAAAAAAAAAAAGGAATTAGAAAGAACAGCAAAAGAAGTAGAAGAAGAAAATTTTGGAAGAAAAAATTTTCTCTTAAAAATAATCAATGAGAAAAAAAAAGAAGCGATAGTTGGAAAAAGTTATCGAAATGAAATAAAAAAAAAAAATAAACTTCCATTTTTCTATTTTCAACTGTTTTTCCAGTCAAACATTTGCTTTTTAAAATTCTCGTTTTCTTTTTTCTAAACGGACCAAAAAAAAAATTTTTTTAGGAAAGAAAAATAGACAAAACTGTGCAGTTGCTGTTTTTTTGTTTTTTTTCAACGAGGGTGAGGGAGGAGAAAAGGGAGGGAGGGGGGGGGAGGGAGAAGGAGGAAAAAGAAAATGTTGGGAAAGGGAAAATAGGGAATAGGCAAAGAAGGGAAGAAGAAAGGAGTAAAAAGAAAGGTAAAAAAAAAAAAAA